AAATAGTAGAAAATAGTTGTAGCTCGGGTTTTAGATTTTGGAAGTGGTTTGTTCTCCAAGCTTGTTTCAATTTAGTTTCTGAACATTTCCTTACCAGACTAGGTAACATTATCATCAGAATTTAAATATATCTCCAAATGAACAACCAACCAAATGACCAACTGACCATACTGGCACACAAGACATGTATAAGCTAAGGGGAATAGGACAAGAGAATCCTGACGATGATGTTATCTAGTCTGGTAATGAAATGTTCAGAAACTAAATTGAAACAAGCTTGGAGAGCAAACCAAAACTGTCAAAATAAATAAATGTCACCATCTTGACAATTTGATCGGCTAAAGATGAATGGAAGTTGCTTCTGGGTGGGCTGAAGATGAGACAAAAGATACTGCATGACATAAAAAAAGACATCCCTTTGCACTACAATCAACACAACCAGGGATGATATTCAGTTACTTTCCCTACCGGTTCGCAAATGTGCTCGCGTGCGGGCTTCATTCACACGCGCCACGTCCACGCATGCACCCGGTCTTCTGCGCATGTGCTTTGCTGGCGCATGCACCTTCCGTGCATGCACCCGGCCTCAAAAACGTGCCTAAATAGGATGGCATAGAGCCCACCCATGATTTCCACTACCGGTTTGGGCAAACTGGTCCAAACCGGCTGAAGACCACCTCCGAACACAACGTGTGGATAGATGTTGAGGCTACTAGGTAGTCCAGATCAAGAAATCAACTCCACCAGAAAGCTACTTTTATTGAGGTTGGCTAGAATAACAAATCTTGCAAGCCTGATGGTGACCTACTCCTCCTTTCTTATATTCCAGTTAATTATGGAAGAATCTGCTTGAGCTACCTCTCATTGTTCTGGAATTTTATAAAAACCGTTTCAACCCCTTTTGTGTAGCTGATACTTCCTGCAAATCTCTGTCTGCAAAGTCATCTTCCATGCTCTTCTCACCAAACCCATAAAAAAAAAGAAATTCTCTCCATCTCAAGCTATCCTGCAGAGGAAACTGTATTGCACTGATAAAGAAAGGGAAGAAGGAAGCACGTTTATACTGGCAAGATTCTGTCACTCTAATCTTATAATAAAGTCATGTTAGCATTAATAACTCTGGCATTCTGGTCTGGTCTACCTTAAACGGTTGACAATTTTAGTTTCTGAACGGGGAATTGACCTTGATGGCCTAAATGGCTACTTTTTCTTCTGTTCAATCACGGCCAGTTCTCAGAGCTTGTCTGAATAAGTCCCTGCAGTTATCTTGGCAAGGTTTTTCAGAAATATTTTGCCATTGTCTCCTTCCTAGGGTTGAGAAAAGAGTTACTGGCTCAAGGTCACCCAGCTGGCTTTGTTCCAGGACTAGAATTCATGATCTTTCTGGCCTGATGTCTTAACCACTACAAAGGTCTCTCATTAATGGCTACTTACAGTTTTATAATTCTATGAGTCTAGGATTCTTATTTCTATGACTTTTACACCCACTTACTGTTAGAATAATTCCCAACCTTAACGCACTCCTACTCGAAGGATGAAATAGCAGGAAATGAGAAAGACTGTTTCTGTCTGAGCTAAACCCAATCTGCTGGAAAATATTGCCCTATGAGACACTGTCATATGTTTCTAAACAGATGTGGGGGTGGTTTCAATCCCCACCAGGAGAAGAGAAGGTTATGGAAGCAACAAACAAATCAAATTCAACTCTGAGTAGATTTGAAGTGTTTTCCTCCTACTGATTCATCACAAATGCCTACTTCTGTTTGTTTTTGTTAGTTGGCAGAATAACAGAGTTGGAAGGGAGTTGGAAGGTCTAGATCTAGCCCAACCCCCTGCACAAGCAGGAGACCCTATACCAGTGTTTCTCAACCTTGGGAACTTGAAGATGTGGGGACTTCAACTCCCAGAATTCCCCAGCCAGTCTGGCTGGGGAATTCTGGGAGTTGAAGTCCCCACATCTTCAAGTTCCCAAGGTTGAGAAACGCTGCCCTATACCATTCTGGACCAATGGCTGTCCAATCTCTTCTTAAAAATCTGCAGTGCTGGAGCACCCACAACTTCTGAAGGCAACCGTTCCACTACTTAATTGTTTTCACTACCAGGAATTTTTTCCTTAGTTCTGTTCTAGCTTCTCTCGTTGATTAGTTTCCATCCTTCTTGTCCTGCCTTCTGGTGCTTTGGGGAATAGCCTGACTCCCTCTTCTTTGTGGCAGCCCCGCAAATATTGGAACACTGCTATATTATGTCACCCCGGTCCTTCTTTTCATTAGACTAGACCAGGGATCAGCAATCTGCGGCTCTGGAGCCGCATGTGGCTCTTTCATCCCTCTGCTGCAGCTCCCTGTTGCCAGTCGGCTCCACAATTGTTAGGGCTTTCGGTTAGGACAGGTAGAGAAAAAAGGACGCCGCACTAGGAGGAGACTCTATGATGGGGGAACTGGACTTCCAGTTGGCAGAGGAAAAAGGAGGCTGCACTAGGAGGAGACTCTATGGTGTGTGTGGGTGGAACTGTACTTCCGGTCAGCAGAGGAAATAAGGATGCTGCGCTAGGAGGAGACTCTATGGTGGGGGAACTGGACTTCCAGTTGGCAGAGGAAAAAGGAGGCTGCGCTAGGAGGAGACTCTATGGTGTGTGGGGGGGGAACTGTACTTCCGGTTGGCAGAGGAAATCCATGACGCCGCGCTAGGAGGAGACTCTATGGTGGGGGAACTGGACTTCCAGTTGGCAGAGGAAAAAGGAGGCTGTGCTAGGAGGAGACTCTATGGTGTGTGTGTGGGGAACTGTACTTCCGGTTGGCGGAGAAAATAAGGATGCAGCGCTAGGAGGAGACTCTATGATGTGTGTATGGGGAACTGTACTTCTGGTCAGCAGAGGAAAAAAGGACGCCACGCTAGGAGAAGACTCTATGGTGGGTGAACCGGACTTCCGGCCTGCTCCAGAATTGAATGGGGGGCTTCTGGTTAGGACCTTTGTGGCTCTTTGAGTGTTTAAGGTTGCCAACCCCTGGACTAGACATACCCAATTTCTGCAACCGTTCTTCATATGTTTTAGCCTCCAGCCCTCTAAGCATTGTTAGGAAAGATATTCAGTATGATCTTACCATCAAAGCAAATGTCAGAAGAAATGGTTTGTCCTGCATATGAAGAAAGGATTGAGGATCACACTTAAGTTTGATCCATGCAATGGGCATGGAGCAGTCAGCAAATGCAATAGCTCTCCTGCACACATCAAGCCATGACTTCTAAAAATGACTGTCGTTTTCTCACTTTTGTATAACATAAAATTAACTATCAAATTAATAGAAAGGCGATGGTTCATCCATAATGAAAATAGAAAGAATATCCAAAAATCTACCAAAACATTCCAGGAAAGAAAAGGAAGAAGTAGACTATAGAGGGTTTTAAGGCAGTAGAACCAAGCCCATTCATCAGAGAAATACTTGCATAAACCATAGAAGGCCTGATTATTTACACTGTGAGATTTATAAGCCCTTCCTGTTTTATAATGCAACCTTCACAATATTATTTATATGTTTCGCTGAAATGTCAGGTTTTTTTTTCTTTTTCCCTCCATGAAGATGGATTAATGGTCACGTCAACTTTGGGAACCTTGAATTTGTGACCATTTCAAAATTATACAGGATGAGACATATTGCCTGGCAAATCCCAGATTGTTCTTGAACAGCAAAAGGGGAAATTACTCTTCTGCTTGAAATGTTCTTTCTGGAAGGAGCTACAAAAAAGTGTAAGCTGTGCACCACAATATCCATTTGCTAGCGAGTATCTAATATGTGCAGGGAAAAACGAATGCTATTATTTCCAGAAATAAGCAGAGATTAGCAGAGATTAGTGGCACCTTAAGTTTAGGAACATTTTTTTCAAAGTATGCCTTACTTCTAGTATTTTTATAAGCATGGAAGACTCAGAAACTATCATATGTATGTGGCATTAGACTCAAAATACTTTAATTTCTTTTTATAGATGGACTATTAGATTGGCCAGTAGCTGTTCCATGAGTCTCGAGCCAAGCTTCAAAAGAAATCCAGTTATTTATTAGGAGCTTCATGTCGGCATGTTCCTAAGTGAAGCCAGCTCTGATCCTACATAATTTACGCTCCAATTATGACCCTGTTTCCCCCTCCCCCCAGGGTGTGTCATCAATCACATTTGCCAACGGAGCAATTTTGTGGGTTGTAGAGGTCACTCCCCTCAGTTGCTATAGGTAACCCTGGGATACAGCCTTGAGAGAGATAAGCGTGGAATGTGCATCTGTCTTGGGCTGCTGTGCTATTTCGCGGTTTTCCATCCCCTATGGCAATTCGAGAGCAGGCCAGGGATGCTTTGTGAGTTGACAATTAATCACAGTTAATTTACTTTCATTTGTGGTATTTAGTACCATCCAATGTAGAATTTGGAGTTGGGGGACAGCAAACCAAAATAATGCTCATATAATCTTTATGCATCAAGCCATTTTTTTTTCTCTTGCTTCAACCCTTGCATACATTTTAATTATAATTTAGGGCAACATTCATGACTCATACAGGTAATCCATGACTTACAACAGTTCGTTTAGTGACTATTTGAAATTACAATGGCCCTGAAAAAAGTGACTTGTGGCCATTTTTCACATTTACGACTGTTGCGGTGTCATGTGATCAAAATTCAGAGGCTTGGCAACTGGCATGTATTTATGATGGTTGCCGTGTCCAGGGGCCATGTGATCAGCTTTGGTGACCTTCTGACCCCAAAGTTAATGGGGAAGCCAGATTCACTTAACAACCGTGTGTCTAGTTTAACAACTGCAAGTGATTCACTTAACATCTGTGGCCAGAAAGGTCATAAAATGGAGCTAAACTCCCTTAACAAATATCTCACTTAGCAACAAAAATTTTGGGCTCAATTGTGGTCGTAAGTCAGGGATACCTGTACTTAATGCATACCAGAGGTGTCCTACTCAATTCACAAGGAATATAGATTGAGAAAAACTGAGCGGATCTTACCAAACTATTCCCTGAGCTCCAGAGCCGATTGGTTTTAAGTTCTGGTAGCGTTTGAGAACTGTGAAGGTCGAGTCACCTACTTCCACACTGTAGAACTGGTTGTCAACTTTGCTTTTACTCATGTTGTAGTATTTGGCAATATATGACACATCCACTTGTTTCCCAAATCCCTGTCATGAAGATGTAGAAAAGAGAGAAAGACAACAGAAAGTCAATAAACTTGGAGCATAATGAGGTGCTCAAAATACATTGCTAATTTCAATATTCAGATGTTTATATCTATTCCCAGTTCATTAAATACCTCAGTAAAAAAGGAATTCAGTCATAATTTTTGCTTAGAAAGATGAAATCGAACTTTACAAAGCAAGCTGTAGACAAAAGATCTATCAGGCTGAGCACAAGAGTTTGTATAACATGTTTTCCTTCTGTGGACAAGAATTTCTCAGATATGTATCCCCCGTTTATAAATTCTAAAATATGTTTGTAAATAGGAGTTAACAAAAAAAAAAATATTTTCTTGATATTTGGTGTGTAAAGTAAAAACTGTCTGTTGTGCACTTGATACAGCACTGCCAAAATGCAGTCTTCCTCAGAACCTTACTATGTAAATGTGAAAACTTTCAAAATGGTGAAATAGATGTCATTAGCTCACCAATAATTATTTATGGAAGCATGCTTGAAAAATAACTTGTACGTGTAATTTACTGTGGTCATCTAGTTCAGGGGTGTCAAACTCGATTTCATCGAGGGCCACATCAGGATTGTGTTTGACCTCAGGGGGCTGGGGTGGGCATGGCCATAGTAGCCAGCTCGACGTCACTTGTGTCATGGGCGCCTGTGGCGGCCCAATTGCTCTGTCAGTGAAAACAGGCTCCCGAGCTCCGTTTTCTGCTGCAACAGCTTCCTGCAACTCTCTGCCAATGAAAAAGGAGCTCGGGAGGGCCACTCTCCGTTTTCGCTGGCAGAGGCACTGCGGGCTGGTCCTTCGCTGTTTCCAGGGTAGCCCCGCGGGCCAGATCTAAGCACCCAATGGGCCAGATCTGGCCCATGGGCCTTGAGTTTGACACTCCTGATCTAGTTGAAACCTTAATTTGCCAAGCGGCATACCTACCAATTACTTTTGTCGCATCTGGCATGGCCATTTTCTCAGACATGGTCTTTCTGTCAGTTCAAGCTAGATGTTCTTCAGGACAGCTAATCTTAAGACTTTTATGGCTCTTGTTCCATTTTTGCCTGCCAAAAAGTTTTTGCACTCCAATCAATTAAGCCTGCTTATTTCAGCTCTCTTTCCCCCCACTGCTGGTTAGATTTAGGGCTATTGATCATGGTAGACAGTTTCAGCTGTAAATTTATGTACTCACTTCTTACTCACAACAAAAGATATTGCTCCAGTCAATAATGGACGTAAGATTTTAACACGGGTTGTGGCAAAAAAAGAACAGGAGCAGCGTTTCATATTATATTTCTATTACATTTCCAGGATTAAATCCTAGTGCAAAGAGGAATTTTTCAGACCATTCAAAATGTGCCCTAAAATAAAATCCCAAGGCACTGAAATCCACAATACATTATTATTTATATTTCTCCAATATCCTTAGTATGTTCCTATGCTATAATAAAAATGAGATTTGAGGTTGATTTGTGTTCATGTGCTTGTACTTTATTTCATAAATTAACATGTTCTTTCCAACACATTACTATCGTATTTTTCAGACTATAAGATCCACCGGAGTTTAAGACACACCACGATTTTGAAGAGGAAAACAAGAAAAAAAATAGTTTTTGCCCTCCCCGGCCCCCAGGAGCACTCTGCAGGATTCCCAAATCCTCTGTGCGTCCCATTTTTGTGAAAAACGGGCCTGTTTTTGGCAAAAACGGGATGCGCAGGGCGGGGTTTTGAGAGGCCAATAATGGCTGCATTCAGTTTATAAGATGCACCAACATTTCCACCCTCTTTTTTTGGGAGGGGGGGGAAGTATGTGTTATACTCCGAAAAGTACAGTAATTATATACTGCCTGACAAGAATAAAAAAGTAGTATCACAAATAATCTGTGCAGAACAGGAAGACTGGAAATAAAAGCTAACAAAATGACAACAGATTAGGGAAGAAAACATTCAATAACATTTAAATAATGAAGAAATAATGTCAGAATAGAATAGGCCAAGTTTTCCCCTGGGGCAGCACCCATTTAACCCGGGAAACAGAAAGCAAAGACATTTCTGTCCAAGCAGACTAATTCAAACTGATAGTAAAGAATCTCTCCAGATTTCTTACTGTAAGTCATGTTTATCTTTAAAAATGAGCACACACATTCTGAATTGTATTTGGAAATTTGCAGAGTTTGGAGCAGGGGCAAGGAAACGACTGGGAGGATATATATAGTATATCTTAGAACCAGTTTGGTCTAGTGGTTAAGGCCACAAACCATGAGTTCAAGTCCTGCCTTAGCCACGAAAGCCAGCTGGATAACGTTGGGACAGTCTCTCTCAGCCCAACCCACCTCACAGGGTTATGATTAAGGGGGAAACAGGAGGAGGAAAGTGTATTGGATATGTTTGCCCCTTGAATTATTTATAAAAATAATAAAGGTGGGAAATGAATGAATGAATCAATCAATCAATCAATGATCATCTTTGCAATAGACCAAGATTAGGAAAGCACTCAACATTCTTAACCTTCAGTTGAAGACATAACTAATAAAAGGTTCGATTACTGTAAGGTAACAATACATCCAGAGGTGGGTTTCAGCAGGTTCTGGAGAACCGGTAGTGGAAATTTTGAGTAGTTCAGAGAACCGGTAGTAAAAATTTTGACTGGCCCCACCCCCATCTATTCTCTGCCTCCGGAGTCCCAGCTGATCAGGAGGAAATGGGGATCTTGCAGTATTCTTCCCCCGAAGTTGGGTGGGAATGGAGATTTTACAGTATCCTTCCCCTGCCATGCCCAAGCCACGCCCACCAAGCCATGCCACACCCACCAAGCCACGCCCACAGAACCAGTAGTAAAAAAGAATTTAAACCCACCACTGAATACATCCTACTTTACGTGTATAAGACCTGCTATCGTTATAGCCTTTTCCAGTAAGAAAGTCATTTTCACAAGAAAATAAAAAGTGAAAACGAAAGTTATAACTACCTTCTAAAAAAAAGGTTTATTGTAGTTGCATGTTAAACTATTAAATTTAGTTTGATCATCACTTTTCATGAAGATAGACATATACATTAACTTCCTTGATAACTAACCAAAGGAGGATGCTTTACTTTTTATTTCTAAGAAAGAACTACTAAATTATTTGCTGCGCACAGCTTTATCCAAATCAGAATCCGCTTGAATGAAACAGTTGAGCTGTTTCATTCAAGCCACCGTTTGCCTGGAGTTGAAAAAAGAAGTGGAGTAAAAAATTGGCTGTCTGCTTCAGATTGTGGTGAACCAATCAGAAATGGATGATGACCACAAAGAAAGCACAATGATGGAGAGCAGGAGGCTATCACTAACACAGCAGCCACACATAGAAGTCCTAACCCTTCTCTTCAGTCTCATTAATTGTCCATGGCAGCTTGCCTCCAATTGAAGAGAGAAACTTAATACTAGGATTCCCAGCATTAGGAGCTAGGAGCCGTGGTGGTGCAATGGTTAGAATGAAGTATTGCAGGCTAACTCTGCATTCCACTGCCAGGAGTTCGATTCTCACCGGCTCAAGATTGACTCATCCTTCCCAGGTCAGTAATATGAGGACCCAGATTGTTAGGGACAATATGCTTACTCTGTAAGCCACTTACAGCGGTATATAAGTCTAAGTGGAATTGCTATTCCTGATCAAGCAACGATAAAGGTAAGGGTTTCCATGTCAGTCATGTCTGACTCTAGGACAGGTTGCTCATCTCCATTTTTTGGCCAAGGGAGTTTTATAATTTCCTCTTTTGTTTGTTTGTTTGAAAACTACCATTATCATTAGAGTAAGCATTGAGTGGTGTGGTGGCCTAGAGGTGGAGCTCTCGCCTTCACAATCAGGAGGCTGTGAGTTCGATCCTAGGTAGAGGCAGATATTTCTCTCTCTGGGCACACTGGGAATATATCTGCTGGGGGAAAAATTCCACATTGGCAACAGGAAGGGCATCCGGCCAGTAAACACTCAGCTGCATTCGGTTCCCAGACTCTACCCAGCAAGGGATTATGGGGTCGTTAAAAGAGAATGATGATGATGATTAGAGTAAGCATCAATATTAAAAGATGCAGCTTCAGGGATGTGTGCCATATAGTAGGGGTGTATAACCGGGGGCCAGGCTGAATGTGGTTTCCTAGAATTTACAACTTTTTGAATCCTTTTTGAATTATAGCAAAATTGTAATTTTGATGTGACATGAAGAGATGATAACTAAACATATTAAATAGTAAATATGAACAACTTTTAATTTAACTACAGTTAAATTTAAATTTAAACAGCTGGTGTTTGTTTGTTTTTTAATAGTCCACTTCTTCTCCTCTTCTTTGCTTTGGTAAAAGGTAAAGATTTCCTTGTCTGTTGTGTCCGACTCTAGGGCACAATGCTGATCTCCTTTTCTTGGCTAAGGAAGCCAACATTGTCCCAAGACAATTTCCATGATCATGTTGCCAGCATGGCTACACGCCAAAGGCACACAGAATACTGTTATCTTCCCACCAAAGTGGTACCTATTAATCTACTTGCATTTCCATGCTTTCAAACAGCTAGGTGGACAGGAGCTGGAGCAAGTAATGGGGACTTACTCCATTGCACGGAGCTCAGGTCTTGAACCTGGGCTGCCAGCTGACAAGCTCAGCATCTTTAACTGCTGAGCCACAGCAGCTTGATCTCAGAAAGATCAAGCATCCGTAGATAAATACACTTATTCATCACAAAGAAGTAAAAAGAAAGAACCAGCTTCCAGTGCACAAGAAAAACTGATTAAATATCAGGGAAGGAAAAGAGTGTATTTTCATTGCTAACACATTGCCATGTGCACATTTCAAGTAATTCTCCTAGGAAGGGGTCAGGAAAAATACTTTCTGGCAATAATTATTTGTATGTTACTATCAAGAGAATTAAAGTGGTTATCACCATCGACACATGCACATCTCTAGGCAGCTACCCCAGTCCCATCAAGGGCTACTACCAAGGGGTTGCCTGGATCTGTACCATTTATTAATCT